CCATCCATTGGTCTTGTGATAACAAAAGTCACCAAGCTCCTACTCGTGAGTTTAATCTCATCAATCCATCTCGTGGGAATCATTCCTCCTTTGACTGCCATTCTCTCACTAATCTCATCCATCGCCCATCATCCGTTCTAGAGATGTGTCCTATCAGGCCCACTTATTTCTTGACAGGCCATATGTCCCTAATTATTGCTTGCCCTTTCATCCATATATTCCTCTTTCCGTCTATCCAAGAACTCATCTCCAAGGAGTCATCTCCCATGCTTTTTTTCTACACTCATCAGTTTTTATTTCATCTTCCTTGTCAGTGTCAAAGAGTTTGATTCATGTCATAGCAGGCAATCTATACCGATTGAAAACTTTCCTCTTCAAGCAAACCAATATGTTGCTTTACGTTATCAAAATAAACTTGATAAAAGCAATTTTGATTTATAGCTTTCGTGACTGCAGGGATTCATATTCATATTCTTGGTTCTTTCGGTAAAGTTAAGAAAAAAACGCCACTTTTTACAATTTTTTTTGCTGTGGTTTTCACACCTGATGATGATTGCTTGTGTTGCAATCGAAACGTCGTGAGAATTTTATTGTTTTATTTGTATTATTTTATTATTTTCCCTTCTACGTGACTTTTCCGAAAGAACCAAGAATTTGATAAAAGCAGTGCAACCTGCTCTCACACACCACTTTATTTCATCATTTTGATCCCAATCCACTATCGATTGCCCTTGATATATGTATTGTTGTGCTTTCTACGTGCATCCCTCCAACAATTATTGCATGCCAGGTTGTTATAGACAGATATGGGGCAGTGCCACGACGTCTCAGAGAGCAATGCACCAATTAGAAATTGTACAATATTTATATGCTCCCTGCCTTCACCAACCCACAACTGACCAGCATGGTGAAGTATGGTCAAACTACAACCACAACTCTACATGGCGTGGAAAGGCCTTCATCCAGCAGTGGATTGACAAAACAATTCTTATAATATATAAATCGAGTACTTTACTAACAAAGCTAATGTCAATACTTGCGGTGTTAGATTAAAACACTGAACAAATCCAAATAGGACAACTACCATGTGTCCATTTCTGCACGCTGCACTAACTGGGCTACAAAAGGAAGAACACGCTTTTATCAGCGGATACCAAATGAGCAAATACGTGCTTTGTCCTCGGCAAAATTTTATACTTCGGGACGTTACACTGCAGGCTGGCGGTGACACGTTCACCGTGGGACTTGGGGGCTCTTGATGATGGACAGCGCTCACGCATTAATTAGCCGATAATGCTCGCCTTTATATGGGAGGATTACAGCTATGTCCGTGTTAATCCAAATATTATCAGCTGGGAGCCATGTATGTAGCATTATCCCGAGAAGGTACCTTTGTTGAAATAAATTTACTTTTACATTGAGCAGTTTATTTTTTATTTACAAACAACGATGATTTCCAGGATGAGATTTTATTGTATTAATTGGTACCGACGTACAGTATTTGAACTTCAGTATACAGAAATATTATTAACAGCTAAATAATTTTTATTCACGATGGCTATCACGGATTTTAAAAAGTAGGTACGGTAAACAAGAAAAATGGTAAACCTTCTTTATTCGGCTTCAGGGACATGTTCAAATCAATAAATGTAACCAACGGCCACACAGATTGCTTTGGAGTTTAAACTTCAGTCACAGAAAAAAAATGTTTTTAACAATATCAATTGCTTCAATAGCTTATCTGTCACATTGACAACTCATGCAGGGGGAGCAAGGGGGCATTCAAGTGAAATCCGAACAAATCATTAGACTACAGCCCCTCAACATGAATCAGATGAATAAGCCACCTAAGTAAATGGTACAAGTACGTAATTGCCTACTATGTTTCTCGATGATTTTTCGCTGCATTAGACTGATTTGAAAAATAGCACCAATGTACAGTGGTACCTCGGAGATCGAACTTAATTCGTTCCAAAACCGTGTTCGAACACCGAATTGTTCGAACACCGAATCAATTTTCCCCCTAAGAATGAATGGAAATAGCATTAATTGGTTCCCCACCCAAGGATGCTCCTATTATTGGCCATTTTTACACAAAGTTTACAATATTAAAATACAGTACAGTACATAAAAGCATACAAAAAACAAGAAACACAGTTATAATTAATAGAATAAATGAACACTGAACTTCACTTTACCTGTAGTAAGGAGAGTGGATGGCTTGAGTGGAAGGTGGTGAGGAGGGGAGGAGGAGGTGTCAGTGTTGCTTGGAAGGGGAGTCCCCCTCCATAAACATGTTGGGTAACTGCCCTTCTGGGGTTCTTTCTTTTCTTTGCCTTTTTCGAGCACTAACTGTGATTCACTTGTGGGCCTTTTTACTAAAAACTAATCAAGAGAGGATTGTTTCTGCCTCCGTTTTAAGATGTTTCTGAAATTGCTCAATGCATTATCATTATAAAAATCGCCTGCTCTGCTGGCTACTGCCTTATCTGGATGATATTTTTCTACAAAATTGTGTAACTCAGCCCATATTGCCACCTTTGAAAAAGGGCTTTCGTGTAGAGTTTTTTTAAAGTTGGAAATTACCTGTTGGTCCATGGGCTGGATGAGAGGAGTCGTATTGTGGGGCAGAACTTTACAGTGATAAAGAACGAGAGCTACGCGTAAACTGGGTCATTCGCCTTTGTCTCGGTCGTCCTGGCTATGCGGCTCGGCCCAAATAGTTTTTTTCCAGTTGTTCGACCTCCGAATTTTTGTTCGATGTCCGGGGCAAAAAATGGTTGAAAATTTTGTTCGATCACCGAATTGTTCGAGTTCTGGGGGTGTTCGATCTCCGAGGTACCACTGTATATCACGCATTTTAAGTTAGTGTGTGTACTACATTCACAAAAATTGACGGGGGGGGGAAGGGAATCCAAAAATAAATTGTGTGTGAGACACGCAAAAGAGAGACACATTGAACCAGTTAACATTCACAAATCAGAGACGCCACATTGACCGTGAACAAAAGTAAGCGAGCTTGGGAAGCACACGTCACTCCAAGGAGTGATGTCTTATGGTTGAGCCTAACGGCAGAGTGGTAGCCAAAGGGGACAGTACGTACTGCTGAATGAAGGCCTCCCCATGCCATGTTAATTGTAGGAGTTGTTCAACATTCCTTCACCATGCTGGTGAGTGTAGGTTGGTGAAGGAGATGAGAGGAGAAGGGACCAGAACCAGTTCAGGTTTCATTCATCGCCAATGTCGCTCTGAACGGGAATCGAACTCAGGTCACAGCATGCTAACAACTGAACTACCGCCTCACTCAAAGTATGACATACCAGGATAAAAAAATAACTCTTGAGAGTCCAGAGGAATAACGTATGGACAATGGCATGCGAGTAAACTTGATGAATGAAAATAAGAGGAGTCTTCTTTGGTTCTTTCGGTAAAGTCACGTGACTTTACCGAAAGAACCAAAGAAGATGAATCCTTGCAGTCACGAAAGCTTTAAATCGAAATACGAGGAGTGTGTCACCTCAAATAATAAAAAAAACCCTGAGTTTGAAATGTGGGTGTAAATCTGATTCTAACATGACACTTAAATAGAGTAAAGACCAGGGCACCTTTTGCACAGAATGGTGTCACCAGTAGCAGTTACTTTAAGTTTATTGCCATGCATTGTGGTCTATGACAATTTATGCCGGACAGTAATAGGGCTTTTTCAGGAGGGTCCTGCAATATGTTTTAAGCCAATATACAAGTAGGAGAAAACCGGAACACCCAGAGAAAACACACGCATTTGAAGGGGCAACCCTCTTATCTCCATACAGATGGAAAGAGATGGTGGTTAGTCCACCTGCTGTACTGCCGTCTCCTGGCAAGCCACAGCTTGGCACATCGAAACCCATGGGAAGGGAGTTTCAGAACATTTGTTTAATCCACCAACTTTTGCCTCCAGTGCTGGATTGCAGGCACGCATAGCTATCATTGCACACCAGTGTCACAGTAATTAGTGGCAGAGCACATGACAGACAGCACTCAAACAACTCTAAGAACAACTGTGCAGCAGAGTGACTGGCAATGGAATGTTGCAATGCCAGGACATAATCCATGCCAAACTGTTGCCCCCAAGTAAGACAAAGTTGGCTCAGTACAATGCTGACACAACTTAAAGAAACCCATGCCTTACAAACAATGTGGAATGTCCTCACACAAGCAGCTATCAGATAGAAACACATAATGAAGAAGGTATATCCATCAAATTTTCGTTCCATATTCCAACACACATTTATAAGAACTGCAAACGTAAGGGTATTTTCTAGAAAGATGACTCCGTGTAAATACATATTCTGAGAAACATCTGCTACACTCAAGCAATGGTATGCTACACAATTATATATATAAAATATATAAAAATGTACATGCACTTTTAACTAGGCTACACACAAAAATGTGAAAGGACATATATGAACGGCAATGAGAAAAGTTTACTTGAATGCCTGATATTCATATTTAAAATTAGAAATTACAGCAAAAAGTGAGATTTGTCATAGGAAAACTGTTGAAATAATGTATTTATAATTCTGACATATTTTAGCAAAAAAGGATTAAATTAGAATAGTTAGTAAACAGTGAATAGTGTTAACTGTAAGACCAGTACATTAAGTAATGAAAATTGGAGGCAATTATATCATTATGCCCTTATTATTCTTATAATACACACACAACCTCAAAATCAAGACACTTGCCACTAAGCCAATCTGGACAGGTGAGATGGGTTTATTCCCAATCTCTTCCTGAGATTCTGCTCAGCACGTCGTAAGCGTAGTGTGCTAAAAAAGAATACTCATGCATGCTGATGTAAATCTACGTGGAAAGCCCAAAACCCCAAACACAAAAAAAATACCTACATTTATAGAGGAAAAACATGCTAATGTAGGTCTCCTTTGCAAACAGCAGAATTTATCTCCAAGTACTCATCCCTGCTGATAAATGCAGTAATGACTCATTGAGCTCACCTCCCATCCGTGGCTGCTGCCCATGCTCCTTCTTCTCCTCGCACTTGTTACACTCGCTGAAGTACAGCAGCAGGAGAACATCCACCAGCACCCACACCAGCGATGTGGCCAGAACAACCTTGCAGTACGCAAACTTCCTCATGGCTCCGTGGACGGCTCAGGCTGAGAACGCAGACCGGACGGCTCGATGTGGCTCGCGTGAAAGAGACCTGTTCAGTTGGCAAAGGTGTTGGAACACGCAGATTTGTTTTGTCAATGCGCTTCTAGGATGAAAACTTATTTCTTCAGAACTGCATTTTTGTGTTTCATTTCTTGCCCTTCCCCCGCACACTCCAATTAGCACTGTTAGCTACGTACGGTGCAAAAGAAGCTCAACATGCACACATAAATGAAAGGGAAACTGCGCATTGACGTCGCTAATTACCACCCATGGTCCTAATCTGTGCACAAACTTAGTGAAATTGTAATTGCCTGGTACTGTTGAACAGGATTTTTTTCACAGAGTGAAGACAATTAATTATCAAAGCCAATGGCCTGTATTGAGCTGTAATTTTAGACAAAACTATTAGATGTTGGTAAAAATCGCTCTAATTTGCCACCACCCTCAAGAGAAAATTACGGTTAACTTTGTTTTCCTTGGCCAAGTCTGTCAACAAGACCTTTGTTTGAAAATTTAAAATTGAAAAAAAACACACACGTATGATCCTTCTTCACTCATTGCACAATTTCACATTCAGTATTAACAACGTAGTGCATTCATATTCTGCACATCACTCAGGGCCTCGATATGAACACACTGCGCAGTGGAAAGCAGCGTGATGAATAAAACCATCAACCCACAGCAGTAATGCAATGTCATTCATTAACACACAAGTCTGTCGCTTCACTTGCAAAGAAAATTGCACGAACCAATTTTATATTTGCATGCTGTCTGAGAGAGAGAAAAGTAGGCACCCACACACAATATGTTCAGCTCAAGCACTACATGTATAGAATTTGTTCATGCTCAACAGTTGACTTTGCGGTTTAATTTTTTCTTTTATCAAATATAATCACCTACAGTAATTGTTTTGGGTGCCAGTCTCATATAACCGTGTCTGCAGAAACACCCGTTTGACAGGAAAATTGTGAGATGAGACATCTCCAGGCAACAAGTCTCATTATCCACATATAGGAACAAAGAAGCGCACTGCTCAGATCACATTGCTGAACTGCTGCCCTTTCATATCAATCAGCTGCACAGAAGCATAACACCACGTTGTTGCGTACCCAGATGGTAGCAAGTGGATAATTAAAATGTCATTTTATCCCACAAATCTCACACGTAAGCCTTCGGCATTCCCCCCCCCCCCCCCCCCCCCCCCCCACAATTATTCTATAGTGGCATGGTTTCCATCAAAAAATGTACTCACAATAAGTGACCTTTCACACACATTATACAGTATTTTGCTGGAAGCAGTTGAAAACATCTTACTGTTAAATAAAAACAAACAGGTACAATAACTATATTTGACCGGCTGAACGGTATAAAAAAACAATGCAAAGGCACATTTTTTTAAGTTTGTACTTTTACTCAGTTTTAAAGGCACTTTGAAAGAAAATCCTGTTAGTTATAACACTTGGCGAGTCAACGTGTGTTTTTTGGCAATTATTTTTAAAATATAAACGTGGTCTTTATTCGACAATGAAACTATCTGAGCAGCTGAAAGAAATTAACCATTATAAGATCACTCAGCCTGGCTTGATACCATCTGTGTTTTGGCCAGAGCCACTCCCAACACTCATGCAGCATATATCGGAAGCTAATTTGCCAACATCTCCGCAGGCATCAAGTACAACTTCAAGCATCAGCAATGCACACACTTGATCTTCATAAAACAAACTGCATTATTCACACACCACTGCAGCAAAGCGATTCAGCGTGAATGGTGTTTATTACAACACAACAGGGAAATCAAGCAAAATTGTTTCATGGCTTCCAATTACTTTTAATGCATTATATGCTGTAGAGTATTGTTCTCTTATTGCAATATAACTATTAATTTATTATTATCACATTACAATTGTTATTTTTGGTTAACAGTTAATGCTACAAATAATTAATTCGATTTAATATATCATATTGATCGGCCTCATTCATTTGGTATACGCAGCCTCATCAGGCACCATTATAGCTCTGAACTGTGCTTGGATAAATCCCTAATGTCATTGCTTTTGATTAACAATGCTTATTTTTTGAGGCAGTAGTCAGAGGTACACCGTCGTGCGTGAGTGGTGTGCTCCCCATGTCAGAGGCGTATTTTCATCTGACTTGCACTGACCAGGGTGGTGAAGTATAGTCATATATTATTCCATAATGGTCGTGAGGGCCTGAACCACGGTAACCAGCAACTGAGGTTTCACTAAGCTTTGCATCGACAGATAAGGTGAAGGAACACATGGGGTGTTATAATAAGCACTGGGTAGGAACAAGACGCCTTCTTTTATCTGACCATTGCTACATAACAACACATAGACTCGACCCGAATAATCAAACCTTGTTGAACAGGAGATAGACTTGAGAGAAGTAAATTTGGGACATACGTTGATTCGGTGAGGTGAGAAAAAAAAGAGAGAACTCCTTACATCTGAAAAGTGTCTGCCTAGTCTATCTTCGGTACAGACAGATTACAGTAATTATGGAAGTGGAATTTTAGTTTCTCCGGAAATCAAACATGTAATTTCAGGATTCAAGAGTACATTGGATACAGTTTCTCAGCTAATATTAAAGCTCTCCAACAATTACTTAAACATTATTTAAGCATATCATGGGACCTCCTATGTCAGTACCAAAATATGAGAATAGGTTTTTCCCCTTTTATCTGGCAACAAAACAGGTGTTAAGTTGTTAAAACACCGAACTGAAACCTTTAACAGGGAATCATGTCTGCATTAACCACAATACTTGTGGTCAAAATGCAAACAAAAAACACTGATAATATATGCTTTGTCTTTTAAACTGATTGATCCACACCAGAGACAGCTTTCTTTTGAGCCTCGTCTCAAACGGTGTTAGACCATAGAAGGCCAAAAGGCTTCCTCTGTTCTAACACCGTTTGAGACAAGGCTCAAAAGAAAGTTGTCTGGTGTGGACCAACCAGTTTAAAAGACAAAGCATATATTATCAGAGTATGGTTTTTGTTTACATTTTGACCACAAGAATTGTGGTTAATGCAGACTTGATTCCTTGTAAAAGGTTTCAGTTTGGTGTTTTAACAACTTAACACCTGTTTTGTTGCCAGATAAAAGGGGAAAAAATCTATTCTGATATTTAAGTATATGTTCTAAAAATCCTTGAATGTGTAAACATATAGCAAATGTGTAAAGGAATTAACAAAATTGCAATGAGACATCATTATTGGTTGGTAAGTTTGGCATTGGAATAAGGATTGACAAAGAGCATCTATTGGCATTTGCAGTCAACGTGGATAGTAACATATCAAAAAGGAGTCTAGGATAGGGACAGGGAGGAGCCCAAATGGGGGAATTAGAAATTAATCTAACTCAGAGACAAACTCCAGATTGTTGGACACATCTCTATCCTCGCCAAATTCAACACGGGAAGTGCTCGCAGGTGATACAATTCAACTTACACTTCAACGTAGCCAAAAGGAGGATAACGCTCATCACAGGCAAAAAAGGCAGTTCACATCAACCATCTCAGTCAGGAGGTAGCAGAATTCAGACTAGCTTTAGGGAAATAGATAAAATAATTGCCACCTTTAAAAGAATGCACTGAACACGTTTTTTGTAACCAGAAAACATGTGAAGAGGAGAGATACGATATGGGCAAATATGCCAAGCAAAAGATCAAAAACACAACTATGTAAAACTATTCATTAAAATCGGAAAATAAATCAAAGAGCACAACAAAAATCATTCAAAATGTCATAGCAAACAATGGGGGCTTAAAGCAACAACATGGAAGTTGATGGCTGGTAATTCAGAAATGGTACATACCACACCAGCGATAGAATCCTGAAATTAATAGAGGAGGTTTAAGTTCTCTAAAGAGAAAAAACATATCTCAGCAATAAAAGTACTTTAGATGTCGGATGAAGAGAAGAAAGTACAGCATCATAAGTAACATTCATAATAAAGGATTTTGGGTTAGATCGCGTTATTTATAAATGTGTCGTAACCCTCCACCACCCGACACGGCCAATCAGCAAAAAAAGTGTCACGTTGACAAAAGACAAATAATTCACTACTTTAGCCCACTGGTGTGTTGAAGAGTGAATCCACAACATTTACAGTTTGAATACGACGTTTCGCTGGTAATTACATCCAGCATCGGGCAATTCGCCAGCATGGTAAATCCCTCACTTGCTCCCGGTCTTAAAAAGAGCAGCAGGGTGACGTCATCATTTAACTCATTCAGGTGCAGTAATTATATAATCGATTGGTAATCAGTCAATGGTTATGATTAGTAATGAGTTGTAGATTAGTAATTAGTTGTAATCTGTGTTATTGTGATTATATGCTATGTTAGTAATCCGTTAATTAGTATATGTTTCCCCTATAAGGAATTGTAATATGTATTATTTAATAATACGCTTCCAAGCCACACTAAGCCTATGGCTATCAGAGCGATTAAAGTTATTTCTATTTCTCTCAATTTCACTGGATTCTCCAATTAGTCTTTGCCAGTAATAATTAGTTTTACACAACACTTCAACGTTATTAAAATCAATTGATTGTCCTTGTTGACAAGCATGTTCTGCCACTGCCGACAGTTGTGTTTGAGATAATTTAATATTTCTTTGGTGTTCTTTTAGTCTTATGCTGATGTTACGTCCCGTCTATCCAATATAGCATCTGCCACATAAACAATTAATCCGATATACACCTTCTGTTAATAATTTAGGTAATTCGTCTTTAGTGCAAGATACTAGTTTTTGAATTTTGTGTATTGTACCAAATCTTACTGTAATGTTTTGCTTTTGCAAAACACGGGCTAATTTGTCAGTTACTCCTGAGATATATGGAATTTTAATAGTTTTAACAATCTGATCACTTTCAGCAGTGTTGCTTTGCAATCGTGATTTGGCATTCAGTGCTCTGTTAATTTGAGTATTATTGTAGCCATTCTGTCGTAATGCTTCTTTAACGTGTTTGATCTCTCTCACTAGACTTTCACCATCTGACACTGTTTTAGCCCGATGTGTGA